GTGAATCTTATAGTTGTTTTGTGGACTGTGTGAGACTATATTTAAGGTTTGGACCTGAGGACAAGAAGGACGCCTGTGCCAAGGTCGGATTGAGGATGAAAATGGCCTGGCCAACCATTTCTCCTGAATCAGTCCCTCTTTAGCACGATGTCGGGTCAAAGGTCACTGATTGTTTGATTAATCAGGAACAATGAGAGTACAGTATTGCGTAATGTGTCGGTGTGACAGGGTGGATTCAAATGGTTTGTCTCGGGCGAAAAGGTGTGCTAGGTAGGACTAAGTGTCTGATAACGGGTTTATGGTACAATCATCGATTATTGAGAATCTCATTTTGAGGATTTGTGTCCAGGATACTGGATAGTACGTTTTAATGTTCTGGCTACTCATGATTATGTAGCCGTTGGGAAATTTGTTGTTTTGTCTTCTTGAAGTTGTTTAGTATGATGATTGTCGTATGGTGTGGTTGGTGGTCGCTTGTACTGGTATGTGATGGTGTAGTTGTGTGATAGATGGTGAGTGTTGGTTTGACAGAGATGTATAGATTTAGTTTAAGCTTGATTGTGTGATGGATAGGGGTTCCTTGTCTGGGATTTTGGGTGTAATTTGGAGGATGAGTTGAAGTTTGATGTTGTCTTTTTTGGTGGTCTGATAATTGTTCTTTTCTCGGGCTTTAGAGCCTTTCGTGAGTGTGTAGAGTAGACTGATGTCCGTTTTGAGTCGTGTATAGTGTAGAGCATACCAGTTCATTTTGCATTGCGATGTTTTGAGTAATGAGTGCCCTAATAGGGTGATGAGCGTTGGAGTTTTGTGGTAGTTGTGTCTGATTACTTGGTGATGTCCGATGTCAAAGACAATAATGTTGGTGAGTTCATGGTTTTGGGGTTTTGTGAGGTGTTCTCGGGAAGGGGTGTGGTTATAGGCTTCCTTCATTAAGAAGGGTAGATTTTGAGGGTGAAATCTTTTAAGAATGGTAGATTGTAATGTTTGTGTTTATATATATATATATAAGTGTGGTAGTAAATTTTAAAAAAAGAAAAAGAAAAGTTAAAAATAAATTTGTGGTGGGACCCCCCACTAGTGTAATTTGTGTGGCCAAGAGGCCACTTAGCCTCACAATTTGTCTCCCTCATTCTCTCTCCCTGGCACTATCTCTTCTTCCCCTTTCCATTTCATTCTTTTTTTCTTTCACTTTGTTTCAAGACTTCAAAGTTTGATTACTTCTTAATAGGTAGGAATTTTTTAGTGCCATTTGCGACAATTCGAAGAGCTCGGTAAGATCTTCAAGTCTATATAAACAATTTCAACTTTTGGGCACTCTAAGAATTCTGAAAATTTGGACCCATTTGGTGCTTTTCTATAATCAAGAGGTAGGGGTGCTCTAATTTATATTTTCTTTGATCTTTTTGTGAATTTTCCCCTTTTATTTGATTCAATGTATGATTGATATTAGTAATTTTGCTTATGTTGTTGTGGTTGTATGCAATTAAGGTGATAGATGTATTATACGTGTTAATTGAACCAATGATTATGGTTACATACTTGGTGGTGAAGATACAAGCTTAGTATTGACATTTTAGGTGCCCCATGATTTTTAATTGTTAAGAAAAGTGATATTGAAATTATGAAAATAAATGTTAGGATTTTCCTTAATAATGTGATCATGATATAGATGGAATGTATCGAATTTACTGCAAATTTTCTTGAGAAATTGCCATGATGCTAGATATATGATGTGTATCTCTATGGGTGTTGTGTGTAAATAATATATGTGTGTATGATTTGTTGATTGGATATGGAAAACATGCTTTTGTGATTATATCCTTATTTAATATGAGTAATTGTAGAAATTTTGTTGATTTAAAGCATACTATAAATTCATGAGAAAATTCTTCTTTAGTATGGAATGTTGTTAATGTTTGATGATGTGAAAATTATGATAAATTGTGAAGCATGAAGCATTCATGCATCTATTGGGAAAGAAAAAGAGGAAAAGTATTTTTTTTAAAAAGCCAATGAAATTGTTTTGGGAAAAAGTTTTTGAAAGGTGTTCGTGAAAACCCGGACGCCTAGGAGGCACCTAGTGGTCCGTGGTGTTAGTGTGGTCTAGAGAGGGAATTAGGGAGGTTGAGCTAATCAGGCCAGATGTGACGCCTTGGAGGTGCCTTGTGGTCGTGGATGGTTAGCCAATCCCTCTTTCATGACGCCTCGGAGGTGCCTTAGTTCGGATTACACTAACAATTTAGAAGTTGAAACGGTATGGTTTCGGAAACGAGGAGTGACATAACATGGCATGGCACATCATTGGCATACGTGATGCATTTGGTAATTGGTTGAGATATGTATATTTGTTGATGATACAGTGGTTTTACTTGACTCCCGAGATATGATCCCGTTCTCTTACTTTCTATTCTCTATGTGGATTCACGGGGTCATAAAAGGTGTCTTAGACACTTCCAACTGAGCGTTTAGCTCACCCCATCATTTTAATAATTTTTAAGGCACGGGAAGGAAGTGGCGGACGACGTTCCTCCACAGGTTTTGATGGGTTAGTGGACTATTTGACATATTTTGTAGCTATGATCTCATTTTAATATTATTATTATTATTTATAAACCCTTGGATGATATGTATATTATATTGATATAGAAAAGGACGGTAACGTTTTTAATTGATCTCGGATTCGGGTAAAAACTCGGTTAGCGATTCAGACCCTCGGATTCAGGTCGTTACAAGTTTCCAATCAAATATAGATCTTTTTGGGTCAAAATGGCCCCGTCGGAACTACCTCAAAAAACATATCTGCAAACCCTTTTGGCCGTCTAATGGTCCGAACGGACCATATAGGTTTCATCAGTTCTACATCAGAAATATATTTGTTACTGGAATTTCACCCCCATTTCCTAGTGCTTTCGGAGCTTTCAATAATCTCATCGGTTGTACAAGGAATCAATCTTATTATCTTTAATTCTTCACACTACAACAAAATTGAGCTTTTTGTTACCTATCATCAATAATAAATGTCACATATAATTGTTTACAATGCAATGAATGAAAAATTGTTTTGAATTCGTGCGCGAAACGTGAGAGCGACAGCCCATGTGACTAATGGCCGCTAATTATTACATCTCAAATTTGAGTCCCTCATTTTATCGGAGTGTACAAGGAGTTGAAATTTATCTGTGACATCTACAAATTTAAATTATCCTTTCTACTGCAATAAACTTCATCTTTTAAGTACTCATGTATGATTTCTGACTTGCCTATTGGCTTGAAAGTCTATGCTTTCTAGATTTCAAGAAGTCAATGCATGCAATGCAACCACTTGGTGGGTTGTCAAATTTGAAGTCTAAAATGGATTTATTTAATTGTTTTGGATTATTAAATGATTTTGACAGTTTCTTTCTTTCTCTCTTTAATTTAAATGTATTTGATGCTTAAAACACGTTTGGACGACTACATCATTTGAACTCTAATTGACAGAGATAAATTACCTTGTTAAGTGCACCGTAGTTTTGCAGGCGAAACTAGTCTGTGAGTTTAGTAAAAAGCTCTCTTAACTGATGAACTTTACTAAGCTCTCTATGCCTAGTAAACTTTAAATCATTTACTATTCTTGTAGCTAGGAACAGGAAAACTGAATTTTTTTCTTGGCATATCTGGTGTCAATTCCACAAAATGACTTCAATGCTCATTACGAGGCATTCAGAATTTACTTTATAATAATCCAAAAATTGTACATACCATTTAGATACTATAGACATGAACTTTATAATAGAGTTAGAGATGACACTAGGATTTTTAGCGAGAAAACCCCAATTGATAAAATAGATCAATTGTTCACATGGAAAAAACCTCATGAACTGTGTAGTCCAAAATAAACCGGTCCACTATGTTTGAAATAAAGTACACTGAACTTTGACTCTGTCTCATAACCTATCGTTTTTACCAAACACCAATAGTTGACAGTACTCTAGCTTTGCAATGTCCCGTCCAACAGTACTTGACCTCAGGACTATTCTTTATCTCTGTAGAAGGGTTACAGGTAGATTAAACAACACTCCTCGAATGCTTTGACACTTTCAAAGTAGGATTGCTTTTACTTCTATTTTTCAATATTTGAATTCGATGGAGAAGTGGATCTACTTTTCTCTGATCATTGTAGATGCAAGACTTTGATCATCTTGATTAGGATTTGAATAAGACTCTAAACTCATTCTGTGTTTATGTGTATGTTCTGGAAAGACTAAGGGCTGCTAATTATTGCATCTCAAATTTTATCCGAGGGTACAAGGAGTTGAAATTTATCCGTGCCATCTACAAATTTAAAATATCCTTTCTACTGCAATAAACATCATCTTTTAAGTACTCATGTATGATTTCTGACTTGCCTATTGGCTTGAAAGTCTCTGCTTTCTAGATTTCAAGAAGTCAATGCATGCAATGCAACCACTTGGTGGGTTGTTAAATTTGAAGTCTAAAATGGACTTATTTTATTGTTTTGGATTATTAAATGATTTGGACCGTTTCTTCTCTTTAATTTAAACGTATTTGATGTTTAAAACATGTTTGGACGACTACATCATTTCAACTCTTATGTACGTGGATGACAGATAAATTACCATAGTTTTGCAGGCGAAACTAGTCTCTGAGTTTAGTAAAAAGCTCCCTTAACAAAGAAATTTTACCGAATAAGTTTACTAAGATCTCAATGTTTAGTATACTTTAAATCATTTAGTATTCTTTTAGCTAGGAACAGGAAAACTGATATTTTTTCATGGCATATTTGGTGTCAATTTCACAAAATGACTCCCAATGTTCAGTACGAGGTATTCAGAAATTACTTTATAATAATCCAAAAATTGTATGTACCATTTAGATATTATACTTGGGATGCATGGACCACATGGTTGTTGGAATCAAATTATTTAGTTGCATTTATAGAATTCTTAGCACCCAAATTTGAAAATTCAAAGCTCTGTCACTTTATAAATACCAACTCCAGTTGTCTCTCATTTCCCACACACCAAAACCTCTCTACAAGCCAATCAATCATTCACACTCTTGTTTTTTTTCTTCCTTAAACCAAATTCTATCATGGGTGTGATAAGTTATGATATGGAGGTTACCTCCTCAATCCCTGCGGCTAAGATGTTCAAGGCCTTTGTCCTTGATGCCGACAACCTCATCCCCAAGATCTTACCTCAGGCCATTAAGAGTGTTGAAATCATCCAAGGTGATGGTGGAGTTGGAACTGTCAAGGTTATCTCTTTTGGCGAAGGCAGCCAATTCAAGAGCGTCAAACACAAAGTTGACGGGCTTGACAAAGACAACTTTGTTTATAGTTATAGCATCATCGAAGGTGATGCTTTGATGGGTGTACTTGAGAAAATATCTTACGAGATCAAGATCGAAGCTTCCTCTGATGGAGGATCCGTATGCAAGAATAGTAGCAAATACCACACCAAAGGTGATGTTGGGATCACAGAGGACCAAATCAAGGGTGGCAAAGAAAAGGCCTTGGGAATGTTCAAGGCTGTTGAGGCCTACCTCTCGGCAAATCCAGATGCCTACAATTAAATACGTTTTAAACATGTGTACACTGAAATATATGGTTTCATGAGTGTGTTTTTTATTACTACTTATAGGCGTGGCTTTCAATTCTTCTTCTCGATGGCTTACTTACATTGCCTTCAAATTTGTAATAAGGGGAAAAGTCTCCACTGAGATTATTATCATCCAGTTGTTTGTACTGTTTTATATGATTGAAGAGTTTATGTTTTTCAGTTTTAATTATAATCCGAAACTCTCTTGGTAAACTAAGCGGATATTTGTCAATGATGCATTCAATTCCTTTGGATATAGGGTAATTTTCTTTGGATAACAAGTTTCCATTATCAATTTCCCCATGCATGATATTTTTCTTCATTTACCCGCCAATACATTTCGCATTGAGATTTTAGACAAACTATGTAGAATATTAGAGTGGGTAATAATGAGACTAGTCAATGAATATTGAAACCATGAAAGTGGTGAAGTCCACTATTCCTCAAGATCTAGTCTAAGTCAATATAGGAATAGATGGAAAAATCTAATTGTTCGATTTTTCAATTGTTCAAATTTGAGTGGGAAAAACATCTAATTTGAAATTACTCCCTCCATCTAATAAAAAGTGTCACTTTTTGGGATGGAGGTTGTATGATTTAGTGCAAAAAAACCGCTCTAATTAGATTGCTACCGCCCTTCACGTGTACAGGTTTCAAATTGTTCAAATATGTCCTACCTGACACCTTAAAATTAAACTTTGCCCAAATTACCCTTAGAAAGACATTTTACACATTATTTAAAAATCATAATTTTGTTGAGTGGGAAAAACATCTAATTTGAAATTACTCTCTCCGTCTAATAAAAAGTGTCACTTTTTGGGATGGAGGTTGTATGATTTAGTGCAAAAAAACCGCTCTAATTAGAGTGCTACCGCCCTTCACGTGTACAGGTTTCAAATTGTTCAAATAAGTCCTACCTGACACCTTAAAATTAAACTTTGCCCAAATTACCCTTAGAAAGACATTTTACACATTATTTAAAAATCATAATTTTGTAAAATGACATAAAAGGGCAAAAAAACCATGATTTATAACATCTTTCCATGACCCAAATCAAATCTTTTTGATGCTTGCTTAGACCATGTTTCTAACATCTTCTCTGGGATGCACGTACCTTTGTGACCCCTGCCAGGTTAGACCTTTTTTATCTAGATTTTCGAGATAAAGCCAGTGGAAAGCATGGAATCCCGTCATTAAAATCATTCTCATTGATATTGAATCCTTGAGTTCTTTTAATTGCTTCTCCCTGTTTTCCCAGTTTGGGCAGGCGCGGAATTACTTTGGTTTTGCTTCTCCATGCTTTTGATCAAATTATATTGGGGAGGAGTAGAATTATTTTGCATATTCGATTGCACGTCATTGCACTGATATCGCACGTTAATAGACCCAAAATGATCAATGCAACCCCTAAGGTATTTTCAGAAGGTTAAATGCATAAATTGTGCATTAAAGCATTACTTTATGTCTAGGACATGCAAAAAGTAATTTGAGGGGTGTTTTAGCACATTTTTGAAAGAATAAGAGAGATAATAGCACACTTTTAAAAATAAGGGGGGTCAAAGTGCTATGCGAAGTATTTTTTAAGAGTGTTTTCGACACCTAACCCTTGAAAATATGGCACTACCCGTTGGGAAACGTTCTAGTTTTAAAAACTTTTAGAGGGATTTTCATTTACAAATCTTGATTTATCACATAGAGACAAGTTTTATGCAAAAATAAAATATGATGTATCATTCAATTAACAGATTGAATACTTATATCAAAGGTCTGAGTAAATCTTTAAATCTTTTCTCTAAAGTGAATGTTCTCACTTATTGTAAACCCCTTAGCAAGATACCATCTCCATGGATCTCCATCTTCTTGGTAATAATTTTGCCTTTAAGAATCACCCATAAGCCTCCATGAATGAACTTGGAAAACTAGCCTTGTGGGAGCCTCCATTAGATAAGAACATTAACCCTAATTTTCTAGAGAGAGAAAATAGATTTCTTTTCCTTCTTCCAAAAAATCACCCCTAAAATATACATAGACCATGTATATATATAGGCAACATAAAGATAAAGAAAAAGAAACAATAAATCCTTCTCAATCTCTAATTAACATGTCTCAAATCTAATAGGATTCCAATATCAAGTTGGGCTATGAGTGAGAATCATTTGGGCTTATTATTTTACAATAAATTAATAATTGGCCCAGTCCATGGACCCAATTCAATTAATTCATAAATTAATTTCTACTCCACTAAAAGAAATTAATTGAACTCCAATTAAATAATAAATAACCTCTAAGTCAATGTTGCACTTTGACCCCTCTATGCACAATTAGTTATCGGATAAATAAAGCCATTAATCCGATTACTTAATTAATATATTTATTTTGGTACCTTTGATTATTTTTGCCTTGATCACAATAAAATATTTGTTTGACAAAAATAATAATTTAAATAAATAAATATATAATAAATCATTTTGTCTAAAAATACACGAAGGCCTTCGAATTTACTTTGTGATCAACCATAATCAATATAAAATAAATACAAGTAGTAATGATGCAAATAGTGAAAATATAACCCTCTAACTATTAATTACATAATTACCCAAAGTGTCGGTCTAAGGATTCCGAAGATTCCGCCGAACAAATCAAAGTAATTACTAATTAATAAAAGAGTCTATACTTATTTCATGCTTAAGAGTCAAATGCCATGACGGTGACATGCTTAAGAGTCAAATGCCATGACGGTGATAGGGAGCAATTGCATACGACGGCTCTCGTAATATATCTCGATCTAACGCGGATCCAGTTCAAGTCTTAATTAATTATAAGTCTATCCATAATTACCGACTATGAACAATTTATGATCACTATTTATTTTGTTAGCAAGCAGATAAAATGGATTAGACATAATAAATCTGAATATAAATGCATTCATACAATATGCAAGGTAAATTATTACTACTATCATGCATACTTAAAATTAAAATGAGTTCGTCATCTACATAGTATAAGAAATCTCAATAGAATAAGATTTCATTATCACTATTGGTGAACAATCCCTTTTAATTAATGCGGGTCCCTCAACTCCATAGCATAATAAATCACATAATCAATACGTCAATAACTTATCCTGATGAAGGAGTTCATTATTACTATTGTTTGGATTCATTTGCTATTAGGTGAGAACTTCCATTAAAATAATAATATGTGGGTCCTTTAACCACTGCATGAAAAATCAGATAACCAATACGCCAATAACTTATTCGGTTGGCGAAGTTCATTATTGCTATTGGCGGGTGTAGGTGCAGAATTTCGCTCAACCAATAATGATTAAGAAAAATAAAACAACTCACTCAATCAATAGTAAAAATAAACAAGAACAATATATGTCGAAGCGTAGAATTGCTTGCTCCCTTTATTGGAGGTCTAAGCCTCTATTTATATACAAAAGATTGTAAAATTATGGTAGGACTCGCGTTACTTGTCCTCCAATTCTTTCAATATAAACATTCTTTACTAATAGAGTTCTTTCCATTGTCTAATTTTCCATACATAGAACTTGCCTTGTACAGAACTTCCTATCTCAGAATTTTCCTTCTATGGTAAATCCTTCACCTGGTAGGACTTGTGCATTCTTGAGTAACTGGGCTGAACATACTTTGATCCGGCTGGGCTTGAGTAACGGACCGGATGTTAAATATTAACATGTTGGGCTGATAATCTCTTAATTCGGGCTTCAACAGGGCTGAAGGCCATAAAACAATAGTATTGGGCTTGTGAACAGTGATCTTGGACTAGTATCAAACTCAATTTGGGTTTGAGTGAGGTGGGCTTTATAAACTTATCAAGGATATGTTTATATTTATGATGACGTGGATTATTCTCATTGGAGGGGATTTTTTCCCTCCACACTTAGCCCCCAATTCCTTTTTTAATTGGAGTACTACTCCTAATAAGAAGGGAATTGAAGCTGTACGATTACCAATTTCGTAAGAAGTGGATTTGAGGCGTGATTACTGATATTCTGACCAAAGGGTTTCCATAAGAGTTACTTCCGCTCTTACTGCATTCATTTCATTCCTTACGTTCTTCACTTTGTCACATCACTAAGTTAGAGCATTTGTCATGGCAGAGACTAGAGCACCTTGGAAGCCATTTATATCTAGAGTTGATAAATCAGTTCTTCACTCTGGTGATTCTATGATTACCGACCCCTCTGTAGCACTAGCAGTTGCTCGGGGAATGTAATATAGAGTTGGAATAACTGCCTCCATCTGCCCCTGTTCGAGCCATTGAGGTTCGTTATTCTCCCTTTCTTTTTGTCTTCTCTCCATCAAGAAGTTAGAGAAAGATCTTGGCAATTCTGAAAAGAAGGTCTCGTATGCAGCCATGAATGCAAAGATTGCATCTTAGTGCGCTTGTCCAGGGCTAAGGCCTTTCGGTTTCGCTTTGTACAAGGTTCGGGAGATAAGTTGAACGATCCGGAGGCCTTTAATGCTGACATGGAAGTGTCCTTCCCTTATCCTGAAGGTCCACAAGCCCAAGAAGCTGAAGTGCTTTTTACTGAAATGGTGAAGTCTCATCAGGATGATCATCTAGCTCCAACTTCATCAGTTCCTGTAGCTCCCAACCCTTCGATTCCTCCAACTTCAAGTCCAACTGTGGTGGACGCTTTTGACTCTGCTCTGTTATGGGAATTTGTGACTGCCCTTACATTGCATACGCTTTGTTGCACAGTAATGTCCTCCTGTTTCTCAAGAAAATACACTTGTTTGAGGACCTTATATTTTTTGTGGTCCGAAGTGTACAGTTCCTCGGCGCTGAGCCTGAGAGGAAATGTACTGAAATGGACACTTAGAGTCCTAAGCAAAGTATTCCTCGGCGCTGAGCCTTAGGGGAAATCTGCTGAATCGGATACTTGGGATCAGAAGCGAATCGGTCCTCGGCGTTGAGCCTTAGAGGAAACGTGCTGAACTGGACACTTAGGGTCTGAAGCGAAGTATTCTTCGGTGCTGAGCCTTAAAGGAAACGTGTTGAACCGGACACTTAGGGTCCGAAGCGAATTATTCCTCGGCGCTGAGCCTTAGAGGAACTGTAATGTAACGGACTCTGGAGAGCCGAGGCATGTAGTTCCTCGGCGATAAGTTTGAGGGAAACTGTACTGTACCGGACTCTGGAGGTCCAAGGTATCTAATTCCTCTGCAATGAGCCTGAGAGGA